AACGTCAAAACCTACTGAACTTTGACAGCTAATCGAGTTCAGTGGGTTTTGACGTTTATCAATTGGAAACAAGCGATGTCCAGATTGAAATCTTACTAAAAAATAGGGATTTGTTGCATCTTTCAAGAAAATGTGAAGCAATGAAGATTAAATAAATTTCTGAAATTTAAAGGTATTTGATGAAATGTTTTGTAATTTGAAGCAACATAGTATTATTTTCAATGGAAAATGATTAAAAACGTTTAATGATTGAGAGCTAACAAGCTTAAAACCTTTTATAGGGTATTGAAAGGTCAAAAGTCAGTTGTTCTAATATACTTTAAAAGGATTCAAATGGTTTCTCCATATAATAAATAACCACTGTAGAGTAATTTTTATTCGTACTAAATGTTGGGTGTTTTAATTTAAAATGACCAAAAATTCTTATTTTGTTCGATCTGGCCATAATGGAAAATGTTATAAAAAAAATCTTATTTTAAAGCGCTCTTACACTGGAATAAGTTGAACATCCCTTTATTCCCGGTGCAAACTAACTTCACACGTACGCTTATGTGTGGAATACAATGCTCGCGACAGATTACAAACGACATCTGTGAAATATTAAAATACACACGTTCTTATGGACGGGCCTATTTTGACAGCTGCACGACTACACGACTGCAGGCCGACAGTTGTCGTTCTCGCTAACTTCAATTTGATCCTATATTTGCCAACGACAGTAGAGTTGACAGTAGAATGGAAGATAGAGAGATGAGGTTAAGTGATGATGCCAGTAATATGTAAAATGTAAAAATATTCACAGCTCTAACAAACTTGACGTTATTTTACAAATAAAAGCATAAAATAGGTCTGTTACATCATTTATAATAACAATTGGTAATTTAAAAAAATAAACTTACCTATTTACTTATTTTTTGCTTAAAAATTTCACTTTGAACAAAATATTAAAATTTCATTGCAGTGCAAGGTATTAGTATGGCCACAACGAAATTGTGTACATACAAAATGGACAACTGCGTTGTTTTGTGTACATGCCGGCCATTGTTATGTAGGATTCACAACGCCATAGATAACTTGATACGAGACTCTTTGGTTCGAGAGAGAGCTGTCAAAGCTCGCATTTTTTATAACATTTGCCAAGGATGCCACTGCTGAAAAATATTAGCTTGGGTATTTAATAAATTATACAAAACACTAAATTAAACACTTTGAAAATGCATACATATATAAATGCTAAAATGCAAAATCATTAATTAATTTACATAAACATTTATTTTGCCAAAATATGTTCACACAGTTCAATGAAATTTCATTTTACACTAATTTCGTCAAGTAATTATAGCGCTGCTCTTCTGGCATCCCGCCTTTTCCACTAACTGCTGGTTGAAGGCCCCCTGATTGTGTTTTGTTGCCAGTTCAGAAAACAGATCAGGGTGCCCTGCCAGCTGACAAGTGAGAGAGCAAGAAAAGAGATTCTGATCAAGTTATCTATGGAGCCAGCAACGAATTAACATCACGCGAGACTATAGCGCGAAACCAAATATGCCCTGCGAGAAATATTTAATGGTTCTAAATGCCTTTGGGGCCATGCAATGCCTTTTATGTTCCAAGTAATTTAAAGATAATCGGGAATATATCCTTAAAAGACATCACAAATTTGGAAGATTCCTTCTACCCTGAACTTAAAAATTCATATAAATGTTTATAATTTTTTACCTCAACTTATATATGTGAACAAGGTTTTTAAGATTTGAAATTTAATTGTTCCAAACAGCACTATCAAATTTCTTCAACCCATTTAAAAAATATTATGTTAATAAGAATATTTATTGAATATTTTCTTATATTTTTGCTCCAACGTAGTGAAAACATATTTAATTTTCAAATTTTATTGAACAATAATTTATTTTATAATTTTGCTTATAAAATTTGCTTAATTTTAATTCCAATTTCTCACTGGTCTACTTTTTTTTTGGTGCTCACGAACACAGTGACAGATCCTCTCATGCCGACCACTGGCCTCAGCACACATAAAATAAAAACATGTATAGGTGTATGCTGAGCCATCATTTGTGTAGTAATATATGTTTAAAGAAATATTGAAAATATTAATACCTAAATATGTTGGTGCCCAACTTAGCGGGCAAAAAATATTTTGATATGCGATGCGTGTGTGAAGAATTAACGATCGAATTGTCATAGATAACTTGATAGGAATCTCTTTGGTTCGAGAGAGAGCTGTCAAAACTCGCATTCTTTATACATTTGCAGCTAATGTCACTGCTGAAAAGTATTAGATTGGGCATTCTATAAGCAATTGTTGGGTATTACTACCGATGAAACACCCAAACATATTTTTGCTTGTGAGCGGAATTTTTCGGCAAAAATGCGCCTTGAAAAACGATTGCGTTCGGGGGCCGTTCCCGATATAAATATAAAAGTTGAGCCTACATTTGACGTCCAAAATTCTAAATTAAAAAATACAATTTTAATGGGTCTAGAAGATTTTGCTCCCCAAGTTGAAGAAGCTGTCTCAAATGCACAAAATGCATCAAGGCCGCTTTTTCCAAGTATTGAAAATGAAATTGAAGATGGAATTTTAGAGCCTCTTCCATTTTCTGAGGAGGATGTATCTTTTAATTTTGAAAAGGCCGCGCAAACAGGTAGGGGTCTGACCGCAGGTACAGAAAGGAAGAAGAAATTGAGAGAAGAGAATAGGGTTATGAAAATAAAGTTAGGTGAAAAAGAGCAGGAAAATATAAGTTTAAAGGCCCAGTTAGTTGAAATGGCCTCAGAGTTAGAAAGATGTAGGGAACAGCTAAAGAATAGCTCATTTAGGGAACAGTCAGACCCTCTTTCTTTAGTTTGTAGTAAAGTTTCTCTTCAGTAAGGTGCTTACATTAGGAGTAGTTTTATAAATAGTAATCGCCGTACCCATGGTCGACGATATGACAATTTTTTTAAAACGATAGCTTTGGGTGTATTTTCTCTATCGCCAGTTGCTTATCGGCACTTAAAGTACCAATTAGATTTTCCATCCGAAAGTACTTTGGAAAACTTTGTTACAGACTGGCCCCGTTTCCCAGGTTGCTCCCAAAGTAGCATAAAATCTTTAGA